AAATATAGAGATAAGGGTATAATGGGCAATAACTAAAACATATAAATAAAGAAATAATAAGATAATAGACAATTCAATCTCATCATTTAATTAAAATTCATCTAGACCCTACACATCACTTTGTCATATAATTTTGTCATCCTACTTTGTTGAAGTAGCATTATTCTTTCCAAAATATCAGCAAATTTTACAAATGGTAATTGATAATTATTTGATTTCATATTCAGCCATCAACCTTTGACAAAAGTTGCGAACTTATCTATAATAAATCTTTGATTGCATTTTTGTTTCCACCATTCTATCTAGACAAACCTCGAGTTGGCTATACAAAGTCAAGTATGCTAGACAAATATCAAATTTGCACAACTACCTAACTTCAAAATGCATAATTTGCAAACTCGTTAGAAGTCTAGCGTACTGGCTTTTGCACCCTCAAAATTTTCATAAGAAACTCGAGAACTGACCTTCTAACTTGCCAGATGTCTATAAATTTTGATATTTTACAAGCAAAAACTCGTCATTTCATCCATCAAATTAGAGATTATGGGCAATACTCAGTTCGAATTTTCCTTCAATAGGAATTCATATGTTGTTGAATTTGATTTGGGAGTTAGAGTTTGAGGCTTAAATGAAAGAAGAAAGAGTTATTTAAGGTTGAGTGATTATCTTGGAGGGGTGATTTCATCTTGTGTGGCAATGTCATTAACGTCGTGTTTTCCATGATTGATTTTAAAGTTGTCACTTGGCCTTTTACTTTGACGTTGTTAACGAAATGATCAAATATGTAAGTTCTTCAAGCTTGAGTGACAGTTACTATAAGGAAATAACTATAACGATAATTTTGAAAGTTCATTGACCGTCACTGAATTAACCCTTGAAAACTTGAAAATGTTTCATCTTTAATTTTGCAGTATTAAATGTTGTTTTTTTGTATCGTAAGTTACTTCCATAAAATCTATAGTATTTTTTTCTTAAAAAAAACATAGAATAAGTTGTTACCCACTTGGCACAATGTTAGGCCTGACTTAGTTAAGGCCCTAACAAAAACTCTATCCTCTATGGATTGGGCCTCTGCTACATTGCCTTTGGGCCACATGCAGTTATATGGACTAATTGATAGTTAGAAATCAAATTTTAAGTAAATATTGATAAAAGATGATGAAATATGTATTTTAAAAGTTGATAAAGGTTGTGGGTCCATGTTAAAATTAATTATTAACTTAGACTTAAATTCTTATTAGCTTTTAAGCTACACCAAACAAAGACTTGATGTATAGGAAGTATGAGTTGAAATTTCTACATTGAAACGTGAAAGCAATTTGTCTGCTTTTTTTACTCACGGATTAATAGTTTGGTTGAACTTTGAAGCTAAATAATTACTGCATAAAACTATATGCATTTCTTTGGCCAATGAAGAGAATAAATTCACGAGGCCATTAAAGTCTTCTTGTCCCATCACATATCAGTGTGGGCCTCTTCGGTCATTCTTTTGGATAGGAATGTTATATCCAACTACCACTGAGGTTTGTCCATACAATGTTATTCATCTTTACCATGTCGAGCACGACATGTGTAAAAGTTGGTCGCGTAAACAGTGTTACAATTAATTATTGTAGGATTTTTCTATGTATTTTACAATTAGGCCATGTTTGATTGCTACGTATAAATGGAAATCGAATTTTAAGGTATAACCATTTTAAACTGCATTTTCTTTATTGTCATGAAAAACGAATTCCTATGGGTTTGATGAGTTTTTATTTTCCAACTAACATAGAATTGAAATTTCTTTCTGCCTTTACCTATCAAACGAACATTACAAAATAAACTCCAAAAAGGTAAGAATTCATAAGCTAAGCTTTGTGTAGAACCAATACTACTTTAGTAGTCAAGAAAAGTTTAGTCGTGTACGCATTTCAATAAAGCAATGGAAATATTCACCTTGTTTCTGAATTTGTACCTTTTCAACGTAGATATTCCATAGTTAATTAATTATTGGCATAGTGGGCTTAGTTTATCGACAAAGTCAGTTTTGAAGTGCAAAACCAACCAAATTTGATCAAGATTAAGATCCCAAATTTTTTTAATTATAAGTTGGTGTAATCAATGCCACCTTTGCCCAGAAACATGATCTATTTTATTTTTTGCTTGAAGGATATCGTCCACTGTAGCTTTTGTCAGTAGGAACATTACCTCTATTAAACTTCCCAACGTAGGTGAGCTAACGTAGGACCATGACAACATTTTAAATTTAGAACCACAAATTTTTTTTTTTTTCATTTGAAGGCTTTGGATTATTTCCTTACTATAAATATTTTAAAGATTCGGCGATCCCTAGAACTACCAGATTTGTCAAAGGAAAAACCTCCATTTTATGCCTAGACTGATAAATGATTTGGGGGTGCGATTTTAGGAGGATCCGTAGATATAAGGTCTAATCAGTAGACGAGGTGGACGTTAACGTCATATTCCAATCTTTTGACCGGTGCATAGTGACATCGTGTTAGACATGTTCACGTTCAATCCTAAAATTATTATGATGTTTTTAACGACATTTATGAATGAAAGTTCTTATTTTCACTTTTTTTTTATATTGGAAATAAGTAGTTTAGTATTTTCAATAACATCTTTTTGAAACGACTTAGGACAAAATTCTACTCATAATCCAATATGTTAATTAATAGTTATTGGAAGGTAGATTTTATTTTGTTTCTTTTAGACAATACAAAATCAATTTTCTGCCCTCCATTCATAAGCAAAACTCTGTAGTAAAACGGCCAGTGCTTGTGTTTTTTTTTAAAAAAAAAAAGAGAAAAAAAGGATTAAAAGAAAACAAAAGAAAAAAAGAAAAGAAAAAAGGAAATTAGACGGGGCCTGGGTGGAGAGAGAATCATAGAATGAATTGTTGACTGCATTATTGTGCGAGGCAGCAAGA